AATTAAAAAATAAATAAAAAAATAAAAAAAAAAACATTTGATAAAGAACGCAAATTATGCCATCGTCTTATATTAAAAAAGGAAACACGCTTCTGAACATGTATCATTAAATTCTTCTGCTAATTTTTTTTAATTAGTCCACTGGCGCTTCAGCTGAGTTGAATATAAAAATTATTTTCATTTACGTATAAATACATGTATATATTAAAATTGCACAGTTTTTTTAATTTGCTTGTTGTCGACATTAAATGGATTTATTACTCGATTTTATTTCTTTTTTTTTTGCATTTCAGTTAACACACACCTTTTTCGCAAATTTGCACTTTGAAGATACAAATTTCTTGAACTTTTTTCTAAATTATTTTTGCTCAGCAGAGCTATCGACCTTTTGGTTTGAAGACCTCGGGACTAACTGAAAATCCTTTTCACCTATATGGTTCATTAAAGGGGTGAGCGAGTATGTCAACGAAAATTTTCAGTAATGCGAGTATTCATTCGAAAATACATATGAATTACTTAAAAGTACTACGAACACATATACATAAATATATGTACGTACATAAAGTAAATATACATAATATGCAAACGATGTATACTTAAAATGCTATAAAGAAAAAAATGTTTGGACACATGCATATTTTCACACATGTTTTCAAATAAAGGGTGATCCAAATACACGTTTTAGATATTTTATTTAAACACTTATATGCTTTTCCAACTCAAAATGTCAACTGTCAGTTTTGCACACCCCTTAAACGAAGTTAAATGATACAAGCCAAAACAAGTTTATTACCAAGCCAAATTTGAATTTTGGAATGTCGCAAACTCATTCTACAATACCTCAAGATTTTCGTCATTTATTGTCCGGTGGAAATCCGGTATAAGACTATTATATACATATATGCACATTATTTTATTATGTGCTTGCGGTATATGACATCACATAGAGTTTTCGAGCTATATTATGAGATATCTTAACCTAAAAGTGCAAAAAAAATGTTTTTGACATATAAGTTTTTTCACAAAAAATTTGTCAAAGTTGAGTTTCGACAAATATCTTTTTTTCGCCGAGATATTATTGACATTTTGAAGTCGGAGTAGTTGCAGCTTGGACTCTATCCCAAGATCTCTGACTAGACTGACATCAATTACCTCACATCACCTCTGGAGATGAGTGAACGAAGGGCAATGGTTGAAAGGTGGCACCTCTAATTTAGTCTAGAAGTAACTGTTAAGAAAGTCTGCAAATTTGTGCGACGGCGCTAAGACAGGTGAATATTTCATCTGACAGATAGTCCAGCGGGTCGCTCTAAGCTTGAGTTGAGGAATGTCTGCCCTCGGTTTTTCTGTAGTGTCCCAGTATTTCCTTTAGAGCGTTCCAGAACGTATACTATTTGCAGGTTTTGCAGGATTTAGTCCAAGGTCGTTCCCGTAAGCCACGTTAAAATAAGGTTTATTAAAGGCGAAAACAGCTGTTCCTGTAAAACCTGCAAATCCTGCAAATCCTGGAGTACGGGAACAGCCTACTTATGAGACTTATACATATGTATCAGTCCAAAGTGAGTCAACTTCATCAAGAAAAGAGGAAGTGGGCGTGCATTTGTCTAAATGCAGCAAGGGATCTGCTAAAGCTCACAAAGCCACAACGCTCTGTTCTGTACGGTCCGGAGAAGGAGATGCGCCAGTTCGTCAGCTTTACAATTACCCTCAATATCTCGATGTCTAGGCGCCCATTTCGTTCAAAGATCTGCGGCATTTATTGAAGGGACTTTGCTTTGTCTATATGTTAGTCTAAAGATTTCAGGTTATTCGTTGCCATCTTCCTTGATAGCTAGGCGACTTTAAAGCAATAGGACCCTTAGTTAATGAAAACGGGAGTTGTACGGAAGTACTGCGCCACGTTGGCATCACTGGATCATCTCTGGCTTATGCCATTGATTGTAGAAAGATCAGATCAATAATTGCGAATGCTCTAAGGATGGCGAATACCAATCACCTTTGTCTACCACAGCTGTCCTGATAGAAAATTAATCGACACCTGTCTATGTCGATATCCAGGCCTAAAGTCCAATCCACTCAATCACTTTAGAGTTCACGCTGCTGTACCAGTCTGAGAGAGATGGCGAGAATGGAAATCTTTGACAACCCCAATTTCCGAAAGGTTAGCAAACGGTTGGCCAGGTTAATGGGCACTTTCTGTAGCCGGGTCTCGTAACTGTCGATGAAGCTGAAGACATAAGATCTCTTCAAACCGTTTTCTTTTCCAAGGGGGATATGATGGTAGAAACTCGCACCAAAATACATTAGCTTCTCCCTTTGTCGAAAGAATATTGGTTGCTTCAATCTTTTAAAAGCTTTCTGTATATTTTATACATACATACATGCCTGGCAGAGAGCAAAAGCGTTCTTTGATCAGAACTGATCTTAGCTGATGTGTAAATAGAAGAAAACGAACCCAAAGTAGTTCTGCACAGTGTGGCATAAAGCAGCATTGTGAAAAGTCGTACTCGGGAAGCAATGAGAAGGCTTTGCAAAAATCTTCGAAAGTATTGCTGGCCGAATATGTGATGCTGCAAAGTGCAAAGTATCCTGCTTAGACTCACAAAAACGCAATGCTCAATGCGGGTGGGGGTATTAACATGACCCTGTCTAACTGAAATTCAGGCAGTGGCACTTAAAGCAGTGAGCGAATACTCACTGTGGGCAACAAAGGATCAATGCTTCTGGCCTTATAGCCAGTTTCAGTTTTTAGTCCTGAAGATGCCTTCAGACTGAAGGCGAAATATCGACCAAAATAAAAATAAAAAGTAAATAAAACATAAAAACATTTAATGTTTTATTTAACATACGGCCTATAGCTCAAAAATAATTATTAAATTATACTCAACGGCCAATAAGCAACACAATCATGAAAGCAATTTAAGTGAGAAATGATTTTTTTATTTGAATTGAGAATGCAAACTGACATTAGCAAATAATAATTTTTCACTTGAATTGCTGATGAAACCGGCAGCTTGGGGCAACCACCCAAACCTAAGCTATCTATTAAGAGTCCATTTGCTGGATAAAAATAACCACAATGAGGATTGTTTTTTTATATATTTGTAATTTGTCTAAACATTCCTTTGGACCACCCTTTATACATGTGTTGAAAGCTCTCAAATAAATATAATATAAGAAGAATTGCTCGTGAAAGTTGAACTAAATAAATCTACTAATTTTTGCCAAAACTTGACAGGATAAACCTACGCCCTAAGATTATAATTATTTGCACATTTCAAATAAACATACACACATACATACATAGTTAATAAATCACACGTACATACATATTTATAAAGGGTGTCCTAGACCATCCCTTCTGAAATGGAATAAAATGAGTTTTAATGGAAACATAAAAATTATGAACTACCAAGTACGGAATGCTCTATATTTTGGTCTAAGGTCATTTAGAGGTTGAAAAAGGCACTTCCGAGAAAAAAATTGCAAGCAAAAGTTACGTTTTTGTATGGGCAGAATCCAAATCTGTGGTTAAAATGTGCATATGACATTTAAAATGATGGGCTTCCGGTCAGTTTAAGCCACTTCCGGTCGAAGCCGAAAGCCGGTAATACAACCAAAAGATAATAAAAAAACTGTTTCTACCATTTTAGAAGGGGTGGACGGGTGGCACCCTTTATACATACATACATACATGCATACATACATACGTAAGTACATGCATACAAAAGTGTGAATATTCAAGAAGAGCCTGTTTCTGAAAGTACAAAAAAAAATTTTTTACTAAAATTTCAAACTGATTTTTTTTTTTAAATAAGTGAAACGACAGACGCAAATTGGTGTGACATTTTCTGGGTGCGTTCGCCAGCAGCCGACAGCAGCCGACAGCTGGCGGCAATCAGCAACTAACCCATGATATTCACCATACTTAATTTTTTTTTTTTAGATTTTTTTCTTCTAGCAGGTGATTTATCGATCACAACCGGCTGCGTGCCGTTGCTAGCGTACAGCATAAATATGTATCTACGCACGCCTTACGGGTGGGCATGTCACATACATATGTATGTACACACATCCATGCATAGGTAGATATTTATAAATTCCCTGCCAGCATTTAGAAGAGCGTTTTCTCGTCTATCTCAAAGAAGTAACGTCTGAGGCACTTCTAAACGTTAGTTGAAAGATGGTATATATTTTACAAAAACAAAGTACACTACTATCGCGTATTTAACTTGTTATTGTGCATAAAGAAGACAATTTCTGGTTTGTCTAGATAACGGCGAAATAAAAATCAAAAAAAAAATATCAGCAAACAAAAAAAATTTACTGTTTTATAAAATATTCGAATATTAAAATAGTTATATACATTTAGCAGCCAATGCTCTTAAATTCGTCAATTTATGGTTTTAATCATAAATTAATGTTATATAAATAAATAAATAATAAATAGATAATTACATATGTACATACATAATGAAAGCAAAACAGGACGTTGGCATTTAGAAGTGAATTTAAAGTGCTAAAAATAAATTTTAAATCTAAGCTTTTTATAAATACATATTTTGCTAAGCCACAAAACAGAAATTAATATAATGTCCTCAAAAGCTATTAAAATTAAAAGCAAAAGAGAGGCATCAAAAATTATATCCCATATACATATATGGCAGTTCATTGAGCGACAACAGCGTTGAAAAAAAAGCAAAAAATTAATATAATACAACCCAATAGCTGCAGTGAAGTGCATATAATTAATGAAGAAAGTGCATTTGATAGAAGTAGTATCAGTGACTCCCAGAGCGAAACTGAAACTGAAAGTGAACTTGATTTCGGTGGTGAGAACAGCCACTGTGATCCATTGACTTTAAAAGAAAAGCTAAGTCAGTGGTCAATTAAAAATAATAGATATCTGCAATAGTGTATTAAATGAACTATTACAAATATTAAGGGAAGAAAATATTTCTGTTCCTAAAGATAGTAGAACACTGAAGAAAAGNAAATTGTTTTTGGACGACAAGATGAGAGCTCAGTTGGTAGGCGAATCTTATTTCAGCTTCTGTGCTTATGATTTTAATAAAACATTGGCTTTATTGATTGCAGAAATGCATGGTACAAAAAATTGGAGGAGAAGAAGTTCCTGTATTCGTCCGTTTAGCGTTAAAACAAATTGTGTCGGATGAGTTGGCAATTAATTTAACTTGGCGTGGGACATCGGAGAAGCCAAGCATACAAAACTTTGCAGTTTTTTCCATCATAAAAGGTTTAAAATAGTATATTTTTGTAATTAGCAATGCTTATATTTAACTAAGACTCATTTTTCTTATTTTTCCCAGACGTTTGTCACTCCAAGTTCCAAAATTCGACAGATTATCAAATTAATAAAATTGTCCAACAACATTTCTTACACGCCAGGGATAGAGTGCTCAAACGCAAACTTTCAAGTGAAAATACTCGCGGAAATTTACGCCTCTCCAATTAATTCCTTAACTCGTACACTTAACTAAATAATGTTAACAAATGATACCTTAACTAAAAAATTTAAACAAACTGTTTTTCTTGTTTCTAATGTTAATAAAAGTTAAAATAAAATTAAACAAATATATTTGCATTTTTTACATTAAGCTAGAAATAAAAAGAGAAACCTCCAGGTGTAGTTTATACGTCACGTTTCTGCGTCTCCCATACGACACTAAGAAGTTACTTTCGGAAGCGTCGTATGTGAGTATGTTTAGATATACCGCTTTTGTCTCTTCCAGACGACACTAAGAAGTCACTTCCTGTAGTGTCGCATGTGTGTCAGTGTGGACGTAACGCTTACGGGGAACAGTTTTTCCCGAAAGAGGGTAGTAAAAAGATGAGAAAGCGATAACTTCCGCAATGAAATTTAACTTCTTGAAGTTACTTTTTCGCCACTTCCGCGATAATAAATGCTGGCAGGGTACATACATATGTATAGATGTGTTCAAGTACAGGAATTGCCGCTCATCGACCGGTAATTTCGTTCAATTGCCATCGATCGATTGTTTACGCCAACCATTCAGCCATTCCGAGCCTTCCAACGCAAATGCAATTGAACACCAGCAAAACTTTTAAGCAACGCATTCAATTCGGTTAACATAAATTTATAAGCATTTACCAACGGTGTGCATTTTTTTGGCTTAACCTCAAAAATCCTACACTTAAACATGTATACCCTGCACCTGTGAGACTTTAGCCCAGTAAACCTCCTATCGTCCGGTACCGATTCTCACCTGATACTACCCTTAAGTATTTCCTCAGCAGACGGTTTGAGCACGAAGCTCACACGTATGTAGGTAAGTAAGTATTTAGTTAGTTACTTAATACTACCACCCCATTGACCGTATGGGTCACGATACTGGTTCAACTTACCAAGAGTATTCTTCTGTCTTATTCAGCTCTTCTAAGTGTGTTCATAATGATTGCCTCAACATTGAAAACTGCATTCCAGTTCCAGATTGAAGCATATTTGCGACAATATTTCCAGGTTTCTCTGCTTTAAAGGCATTACGCAAATAATTCCGTACTTGTTCCAATAGAAGAATACGTATTCAACCACTTCGATATCGCTTTTAGCGCAGGTTTCACATGTTTCAGAGTATTACAGGTTGAAACGCTTGAGATGAACCTTAAAGCAACCGTGGCCTGTAAACAACTTGGTTGAATGAAAATTTGAATGATTCGACATTTGAAATTAAATGGTGGGTCCAACGTCCATTTCGAATTGCGTCCCACCGCCTTCATGCCTTGTAATTTTCTTTTTCAATGTAAGTGGAAATTTATCCAGTGCTTCGAAGCTGGTTTCCTTAGCTAAGAGGTCTACTGAACGAAGGCCTGCGACAACCAGGGCTGCGTCTTCGAGTGCAAGTCTGTAGAACGTCGAGTCGAGAGCATTTGCCTAAAACTTGCGCATCATAAAGTGATACCTACTTGGGGACACGGGCTAAAAATCGTCTCGCATTTTGCTTGAGACCACGTGCGTTAAGCACCATTCTTTTAAAAACCCCGCATGCTTTTTGTTGCCTATTCGCAAATGTAATATGATAACCAAATATTTGATGACTCCCTTAACATTAAAGCTCACATATTCGCGAATTTGTATGTGTGTAACAAGAACAGCTTCGGTCTTGCTAGTCCATATAGTAGGAAATTGTCCGTCTTGTGTAATGTCGGTAAAGTGAATAATCGCATTATTCAATGCCACTATAGGAATGCAAACAGGTCCTGGAGCTATAGCTGGTTCCAGTTGCTCGCATACTTCTAGTACCTCCTCGTTAGATACGATCGGAATAATAAGCCTGGGTTGCTTTACTACCAGGGAATTGAAATGGAGTTTCGGTTGTGTGGCAAAAAGTGCAGATAAATATTTACAAGAACGGAGGGAGAGTTGCCATTTGGGCAGGGGTACAGAGTTTCACTGTAAATGCTTTGTACCCGAGTTCCCACTCATTTTTTTCTGCGTTTTCGCGGAGCTTTAGCGGGGAAGGCATGGTAGGTATAGGTTAGGTTAGGTTAAAGTGGCTGCCCCGCGCAGAGCACGGAGTACACGTAGGCTGGAAAAGCCCCTTTGTGATACCACTGGCCAAAGCCATTTGTTTCATACCCTTCCTTAGTAATTGAACTACAGAGTGCGTTTTATATTGCACAAAAAGTCGAGGACGCTGGCCGAGTTCAAGTCGGCTAAACAATCCAGAAAGTATTTGTTGAAGAGTTGGTTGCGCGTGCTGGCCAGGGCTGCACAATGGCAGAGACAGTGTTCGATGGTCTCCTCCCCCTCCTCGTCCCTGCAGCTGCGACAAAAATCGTTGAAGGGGTACCCCAACCTTTTACCGTGTGTGCCCATATTGCAGTGTCCGGTGATTACACCGACTACTAATCTGAAAGAGGAGCGGTCCAGACGAGTAAGAGCTGTGGATCGCTTGGGCTTCTTCAACAGGTAATTCATTGCACGACGGAAGCGATAAAGCCCGTCGCAATCAGCTACGTAAAGCACACAAACTCCGCCCTCATGAGACAGCCACGTGCTTAACAACGGAAAGGGCACAGGCCGCTGTCAACAACGCCAAGGCATCTAAGGCGTCACTGCCCACCCTAATCATGCCAGAGATGTGGAAAATGGGTAGGGTCGGTCGTTCTCCTTCTTAAGCCAAGCAAAAAGGCGAACGCAGAAGACTCGTATAGACCCATCTCGTTCCTATCTCAGAGGCGAAAACTGTGGAAGCAATACTCCTCCCCAACCTGACGAAGCACCGGAAACTAGCCGAACACCAGCATGTATTACAAAAAATGCACCCCCTGTGAATGCCGTTCTGGGCACTAAACCACCAGACGTGGACGAGACAGAACTTCGTCTGCCTCAGGCGACTCGGACCACAATAGCCCAACTGCGCTCTGGTCACTGCAGCAGGTTGAACTCATACCTGAGCATATTAAACGAGGATGTTCTTAACGAATGCGCGGCATGCGGAGAGTCGACCGACTACTCACAGCATCTATTCGTATGTCCTCTGATTCCCACCTCACTAACGCCCCTGCCCCTATGGACAGACCCCGTCGAGGCTACACGCTTCCTGGGGCTACCGCTAGTAGAGCATGACGACAACGATTGAGGGACTAACTGATCTGAGCGGCGTTGTTGTAGCCGCTACAACAACAACAACAACAATATCCACCACAGATTTGAACGCCGTCATCACACAGATAACCGAGGGCCTGAACCAACGTCAACTCTTCACCACATTGATCAAGGAGATCCGGCTCGAACTGGGCGTATACGTCGAGGGCGTAAAAATACCTACAACCAACCAACCGAAAATCCTTGGAGTTGCGTTTGAAAGCCTGTTCTCCTTCTCTGCGCACACCTCAGCCACCTGCAGCAAATTACGAGCCAGGAACAAAGTCCTGAAGTCGATAGCTGGCCGCACCTAGGGCCACCTCATGTCGTCCAAGCATCATCTACACGAAAGAAAGCCAGATGTTGGCTGCTATCTGAGCAATTCAACGTGTGATGTTACCGTGAAACCCACTTCAACAACGCTCTGGTTCGGAACGATCCGCCAACCCCACAAACCAGCATTCGGGCAGGATCCTCATAACACCCAACATCTTTTCGCATACACCTGCAACCCGACGACCCAGACACCGAAAACAGGATAGACTACACTTATCCTGAAGCCCACAGAGTCAGAGGATGAAGAGTACACACAACAAGACCTCCTGTCGGTTGAACACTGCTGAATGTATTACAGAACATACTTTACAAAATTTCAAAAGACAACCGCGGCGCCACTTGAGATCATTTGTTACTAGTGAAACATCCGTTTAACGTATGGCAGGCTAATGCAATTTTCATGGAAAGTAAACACAAGCAGAATTTTTCCTTATTCTTAGTCACTGCTGAGGTAGGTAACAAGAAAATGGGGGATGTAAATGAAGCAGTCAAGAGCAACACAAAGATCAGTGCGTATAATTGCTCATTTTGTTTGTTTTGTATCGATTACGTATGTATTTTGTATTTTTAGGTACCTAACGTAGTTGCTAAACCGCCCATGTACAAATATTCGTAATATTTTTCATATCTTTTAGCTACACGCCTGTGCTGTTCTCATCAGCGCTAGGGTGTTTGCGACTTCTATTCTATTTGCTTAAAAAAAATCTTAGTCCAGATGTCTTTTCATAACACTGCGGAAATACCCCTACGGTTTAAACAACCCTGCAGGCATATCTAATGTATATATGAAAGTCAGTTAAGACCTTTTGTTTGTGATTATAGATATATGTATGTATGTATATTCATATTTCCCTATCGACAAATTTTCCTACCTGCCCGAAATGTGAATCCTTTAAAAGCCTTTTCATAAAAAATAACGCAACAATTTTTATTTATTTTTTTAAATTTATTTAAACATATTTCCCACATCAGTACATTGCTTGATTTTTGTTTAGTTCTAACAAATCGATCGTCCTAACATGGATGGAGCAATAAAGTGTTAAAAGGTGTGTACGATTCTCTCAATTTCGGAACATATTTCGAAAATATGTACAAATTGATACCAACTTGACTTTTCCGGTACAGTGCATACTAAAAAACACGTGGTGAAATAGTGATATTTGTTAAAATCAAAACAGTTTATAGTTAAGCAAATATTAACTATAAGACAATATGAGAAACTTTTTTTCTTTGTTCATTGGATGTTTAAAATTGAGTAAAATTGTGTTTTTTATTACGATAGTCTCCAAATATAATATAAAATGAACTTATTCATATTCAATTTATATATTAACAGTTCACCTCTGATTGCTAAGGAAATGTGAAAAGTCGTGTTGTTTTAGGCATGTTGTATGCATGTGTCTACTTGTTTGTTTATATTTTGATACAGATATTTAATCATCAACTATGTAATTAATTTAAATTTATTCTTCATTATCAGAATACCAGGAGAGACGTTCTTCGTAGAACTTAATAACCATTTGTGGAATCTTAACATTTGCAATCGCTGCTGGCACCATTTCAGCCTGGTCAACACCCTTGAATTGTATGAGGAAAGTCAAGCCACCGCTCGAATCAGAGGCGC